AGCATTACTTACTTACCTTTTAGCGATATTTTTTAATATTTTCAAAAAGAGTGATTTTATTCTGATGAATAAAAGGGGATACCAGAAAAATTAGTTAAAAAATAAGCATTTAAGGAACTTCCGTATAAAATTTTCTTTCGCCTAAATTTTAGGTTAGGAACATGATGCGGTTTTAGCGAGCTTGTTTAGACATCATTTAGCTACTTAATCACTAAAAAAATCATACCAATGGATTTAATTTCGTTGAGAAAATCAACCATTTCTGTATGAATGTCGAAAAAACCTCTCTAGCTTCAACATGTGAAACTAAAAAAACCTCAAATATTATAACATTTGTAGCCCAATAATAGCTCTTTTCAACTAGCCCAAGTTTGTTAAAATCAGCTAATCCTCCATGTGCTCCATCGATGAGCCATCTATATCCAACCAAAATAACTGCCTTCTGAACTACGATAAACCGCTGACTCACGTGTAGGGCGTGCGCCTGCTCGTCCGACCGTGATCTAGGTCTATCCGATCCGCGGATGCAGATGCACTGCTCATAGAAGGCCGTGGCCGCCTCATCTCTCCGACTTGGCCGTCGTCGACTGCGGCAGCGACGCCGACGTCTGCCGTCGCAACGCTTCACGCCGGACGCCGTGCGTCGCGCATCACGCGTCGCGTTCTATTCGTGTCCTGCACTCGATTCAGGTCATCCACATCTCGCCAACTACTACGACACAACACACTCCCATTATTATAAAACAAATGCATTTCGCTGGTAGTGGACGTCGTTGCGAGCTCTTACACAGCCAACTCTTGCATGGCGTTCTGAGCTTACTAGATGGACTCGTCTGACCAGTGCTTCTAATATCAAAATTGTTCTCCCTACATTAAAAACAGTATACACGAATCCAAGTTCGAAATCGCTATTGGAGAAAGGATATCCAAAGCATGAAGAATCAGTGAACTTGGGAACTTAAGCAACAGCATAGAACAGTTCGAGCTGAACCTACTGTAATGAACGGTACTGATCAGTGGCAGATCCAGGGTGTGTCCTGCTGACCCCAAAAATATCAGAAGTAAAAAAAATTACATCTTTTGCAATTTTCAATCGCCGATACCTTCTTCTACGAGCTAACCCCCCCCTGCCCCCCGCCGAGGTGGGCATCTTCTCTTCTAAATTCACCAGATGGACCCTTCCCCAAAATATTTTATACGTTCGCCCCTGGCACTGATACAAACGTTTCTGAATTAATCCAGACTCTTTCTTTATTAGAAATAAAAACATTTACTCGACGGCATTATCAAAAACGTTTTTTAAAGCGAGAAATGTTCTTTTCAATTTTGATCACCTTCTAGACGTACGCTCATGGTCAAACCATTCGTCATCACATCTACTAATGTATACTTTTCGATATTGTAATCAAAAGATTTTGAATAATCTCCCGTGACAAATTTATTATTACTAGGTTGTTTTGTTTATTTTCAATATTTCAATTATTTATTAACCGATCTACCTTGATAGATTTTTTATTCTCCCAGATAAAAAGCATATTTGCAGAATATTAATGTTTATCAACCGTAGACGTGTCGGTCTCTTTCTAATCCACACAATTGTCGATGCCTTGGAATAAAGATGGGAAAGCATTAATAATTCCATCTTTACTATTACTCATTCATGGACAATCCTTTTTTGATGCTCCCTTGATACTATATGCGCATTTCAAACATACCAACATTTATCTTTATTTACTAAAATGAGATTTTTTTTTTGGTTGTTGTTATTTCTGTCCGCTCATCGAAAAAAAAATTATCAACATCGTTTCTTGACGTTTCAGAGACGCCTGACCATTTTTTATCACAATTTTTGACTGTAGTATATTTATAAACCTGTAGCCTCAGTAATTCTACGTATCTATTAGACATATTTGACATAAATGTTTCCCCGTATATTTGCCCTCAAGACGAATGTTAGAAACACTTTTTATATGTACAAAGTGCATCGCTGCCGGGCGTACAATCACGGGACGAATTTGTTACCTGAATGGCTGAGAAGAGATCGTCAACAAGGCCCTGGCGAGGCGATGTAACCATTGCGACTAACAGGGCGACAAAATTCATTGAATTATAGGGATGTGTAAAATAATGAATGAAATTGTTCTGCGAATATGTAGATGTTTGGCAGAATGAAGAATCTCGGATCTCGTAGGCGGAGCCAGAATGTGTGCATGTTGCATGCACACGTGTTCCCTCGCCAGAGTCCATGTGGCGTCCCCCCTTTCCCCTGTATCCCCCTATAGCCCCACGGTACCCAATGGGTGTTTAGGCCTTAGGCCTTCGTGGTAGTTGGAGTATAAAAAAAAACTATTTTTTGTACCTGTTTCTCAAGCAAATAATACCAGGCCGTATGGAATTATAAAAAATAGGGTAAAAATAAACAGACAACACTTTTTCTTCAATTGTTTTCATCATATTACATGACCAGTCGATATTGAGTACGATTTAGGTGTGCCCATCTCTATTCGTTCCGTCTCTTTCTCATTCATAGGTTTGGATACGCAATTTATTAAAAGGAAAATTATATTCAGTGTTATTTGTTTTAATGATTTGCATTCGCCTACCTGCAACTTAATTTGACTAATTGAAAAATCGTAATGATTTGAAACCCACTTTCAGTAGGCATTTCCGAAGAAAACCTATTAGTGTAGCTTATGCAATCACTCGGAAGATATGGTTGTTTAATATGTCACGTCATGTTTTACGGAATCAGATGGTCAGAGATTGAATCTTTGATCATCAATAGTAAGATTTTTCCATGACACAGTACACAGAAGAATAGAAGTTTGTGATGTTTTTATTAAGGAATGGGTCTACTAATATCTTTGTTCCACGGTAAACACTGGTTAAGCAGAGAAAAGAGATGTTATCCAAAAACCATTGTAACCAGTTTTATTTTTCAGGCAAAGGCCTAAATGCCAGGTCACCAAGGCTGCTAGAGGAGCTAAAAAATGTTTGTTAATCCAATGACTGGTTGCAAGACCTGGTTATAGATCGTGGGGTTCTCTGAATATTTCGTCAAGTAGACTGACCCAGTACTTATGACGCATCGATATACAACAGATACGGTCTGACAAATCGACATAAATGAGAAACATGGACTTGTGTAAATGGTTGTAAATTTTTGAATATTTTGTGTCAGTGAAAGACATTATTTTATTAAGATGCTATTGATCTCAGTGATACTATGCATCTGTTAGATGTAATAAGTCACACATATGTATCCCACATCTGCCATGGAAATAGAAATATGATAGATTTGCTTTATATAGTAAGTCCAGAGGTCGAAGATTCATTGTACCTACCTAACCACGTTTCGATTTCACCTTTTGGAAAAGGGATTTGACTTATCCCTTTTCTTTTCAACCTCGAAGAAAGCCATAGGAAGTGTAGAGTCAATGTACTTGACGCCATTTTAAAAAGGATGAATTGATACCTTTGGTTCCCAAAGAGAATAACCAGACCCTTTAACTGCAATTAACTGCTCCAAATTTTGTTAATTGTGCTTATTAACTTCTTGTATTTCCTATTTCAGCTTCCATTGTTTTTAATAACGTTCTCTTACGCAAGATCAAACACATTTTGTTCCAGTTGAATTATAAACAAAATAAGCATATCTTCACGAAAAATATACTTAATGGGAACATCTTGTCGAAAAAAAAGAGGACTGAAAATTATTTTGTCTACACTGCTCAATCGCAACTAACGTTGCCAAGATGCCAAGCGTTGTTTTGAGCTTTTTTCGCTCTGAAATATACAATTTCCATTAGCAGAGGTATGTAGACTGTATACAGAACGGTATGTAATAACGTAATCATGTATGCTTAGCAGGAATTTATGGTATATATTTTCATTCTGAGGTCACATACCTAACAAAATTGCAAGCATTTATCATTGGAGATGATTTTTTGCGATACCACATTCTTTAATAACTGATGAGTTTATAAAGTGACTTCAATACATTTTTCTCAAACACTGTGAATTAGTCAAGGTCATATCTTGATAGACAGATCTTAACTTATTATCAGATCGAGCTAAAGCTTCAGCATTACATGTTAAATTAAGGTTGCTCTATGGCAGAGTTCCCCAAATTTTTTTGTGTCGTAGACCATGTTTTTCCGTGTTGGGTAGACGTCCTACTTACCTGATATTGATTTCCTGTAAATTTCTTCTTAGCGTTAAAAACTTAAAGCAAAAACATATGTTAATTTATACATTTATTAATTGAATTTAAGTTAAAACTACTCAAAATAAAATTTTGTATCTGTTATGTAAAATAAACAGGTGTCTGACCAATAAGTGCAGCATTGGAATAAGTGCCCGCATTGAAAAAAAAAATAAGAGGGATAAAATAAAAAAAAGTGAAAAATAATAAAAAAAAGTTTTTTACTTAAAATAGTACAATAAGCGAGTTCGTTTATTAATTATAACATAAACGTATGTTCTACAATAATTTCGCTGTTAGTTTGATTAAATTCCGCTTCTTATACGTTTAAGTTATCTAAAAATAGGCAAAAAATTAACGAATTTTAGTGTGTACCTATCCTTGAATTTTCAGAATAATTTAAAAAAAAATATTTTCTATAAAGGGGAGTTCTTTAAAAAAATCAATGCGGGCACTTATTCCCAATGCGGGCATTTATTGGTCAGACAACAATAAACATAAAATAAACTATAAATAAAATAACATACGCAATAAGTCAATATGTTTAGTGAGAAGGATGAACTTGATGCTTTAATAATAAATTATCAACATTTGGCGTCAATTTTGTAAGGGTTAATCTTAAATCTCCTCGGCTAATGATGTCCAGTCTGTTTCTTTTTTTCGTTAGGTGATTGGTATCAGCGCTGAACCCCCTTTTCACTAGGTATGACGATGGAAAGGAAATTAAAAATTTCCTCGCTATATTCCATAATACGGGATAAGTAACACGTATGTTGTTTTGCAGCCAGAATTGCTGATATCCGTTTTTAAACTGATCCTTAAGTTCTTCGTTTGTACTTACTTCAGTCAGTTCCTCTTGTATTATGACATTCATTTCTTCTATGTCACCATATGGATTAATTACCCACGGTGGTATTACCATAGTCAAAATATCCTCAAACCTATATTCAAAATAGTATGCGGTTTTCCGGATTTTGCTATAAGTAACGAGATATTGTAAGACGCCCGCAAACCGTCATCATTTCTTTGTGACGTCGAAGCGAACATTCTGTTCAGTGTAGGTCTCTTCCGAAATGTATCTTTGAGTGTTTGAAAGTATTTCAAATCTTTTTCTGTTTTATCAGGGTGGCATCTTCTCAGATGATCTTGCAGTTTAGATGGTTTCATAGCGTCATTGCCCAAAACTTTATTGCATAAAAGGCACATAGGCGATTGTTTGTCCGGAAATGATAGAATGAAGCCAAATTTCATATAATCAACACTGTACTGTCTACATTTCTTTTTAGATTCGTACATGGCATCAGTCATCTGTGGGCAAAATTAAATTATTTAAATAAGACAGAAAATCCAGCAGCTGTATATTAAAAATATTTTTTGATTTTTCCGAAAACATTCCAGAATTCGAACATCTTTTTGCAACAATTAGCTCGAATTACGGAGATTGCACTGTAATTATATTACCGGTTGCTAAAACTTTCAAAAAGAAACTATTGAGGAGTACTCGTGTAATTTTGTATGATTGAATATTTAACTACTAATAACTAAAGTCATGATTGGAGTAATTTATCTATCTTTGCTAACTACGAGTACAAAACTAAAATTTAATAAAAAATAATGTACTTACTTTTCTCCAGCACTCTCAAACAAAATAACACTGACTGACTATAATTTGTGTGATATACGATTTGTTTATATTTTTTAAAATATTTTTTTTGCACTTTCCTTTTCAAGATTCAGGAAACGAATAAACGTATTTGTACCACATTCGTATTTATAGAGTGACGAATTGAACAAGTCAGTGCAAGGTAGCGAAGCTCTGAGACTGCGACTCTCAGGTTTTTACAAGTTCAAAATGTATTGCGACCACAAAGCGAATACCAACATCCTACAAATTACACAATTTTATAAACATATATAATAAATTTTTTACTTCATAGGTACTTTTGTAAATAATGTATATGTTTTGATATTATAAGATATTATGATGTAAGTCAATAGGTACTATCAGTGTATGTGTTGAGATCCACTATCGTGGACCCCCATATTCATTTCATGGACCCCCAAATTTTTTTTTCGCTGACGTAGACCCCTTGCAGGTTGTCATAGACCCCTAGGGGTCGATATAGACCACTTTGGGAATCAATGCTCTATGGGATCTAAGTTGGATATGATATACTGAAACAGTAGATTGTCCTAACTCCTCAATGTCGTTTATTTTGGGGTTCAACTATCCATATATGATGTTATTAAACCATAATAAAGAATGGATAACGTCTAACTTTTACTTCGTAAATAAAATTTATTATACCGAACATATAAATGAAAAAGGATAATTCATATTCATGTATAAAACGTTATTTATTGAGGCAGTTACAGGTTTTTTAAACTAGAGTTTCATATTTTTTTGCGGCACTCAAATTATTTGATATGTCATAATATTATAACTATATCAAATGTATAATCTTGTGCAAATGAACGACGTTACTGTCTCAATAACTTTCTGAATTTACGAGTAATATTAGCATACTCACGCTTTTGTCGTTCGAAATAGCCATACCCTTAGGTTGACCTTGAAAACGAATCTCTTAAATCGGATACCAAATAGTGCTGAACTAACTTAAATTTTTACAAGTAATTATTTTTCTATAAAAATGTATTTCAAGTCGCAAGCGGATTATTGAAGTATCTGGCCAATCTTCAACAAGTAATTGTACTACAGAAAGTTTAGGTAAACGTGTTTTTTGCAATACTATATTATAATTTTTTGTAAAAAAGTCAATAACTACTCAGTCGTTCTTTTTTTCAAAATTGTTGAATCAAATGTAACACTAGACGTTTGGTTAATTCGAATGAAAGAACAACGTCAATGGGAACGGCTCAACGGGCTTCAGTCTGGTGATCTATGTAGCCAGGATTAGTAAGATTGATTTTTGTTAAACTTCAACTGCTCAACATGGTCTATTATCTACCCAAAGTCTACTGAAATATACTAAGTGACATATAAATCCGAACACCCAGTTTAAATGGTTTTATTTTAATAAAAGTTGGTGAATGTATTTATCTTACTGTGAATAACAAGTGAAAAAATTTTCAGCCTTATCAGTTGGACATTCCGGTTTTTATACTGCTCTTTTTTAATTCACTAACGCTCTAAAAATGAATATTTCAGCCGCAGTAAAGAATCAACGTTGGCGGATTTTGGTTCTTGACATCCTTTACGATCGGTTACGATACCTAGAGTACGGAGACCTGTACGATTTCGTCAACTTAGTGAGTTTGATAGGGGCCGTTTAGTGGGACTTCGGGAAGCTGGACTTTTTTTTTCGGGCAATTGCACTTAGAGTGCAAAGAAGTGTAGACACTGTGGTTAGGTGTTGTCAGGCATGGCTTCGAGAAGGCCGTACGCAAAGAGCAAGGGGCACTGGACGCCGCCGTTGAACAACAGACCGTGAAGATCGCCGCCTAAGATTATTGGCCTTAAGGGACCGTTTCTCCACTACCAGGTCCATTGCAAATGAATGGTTTGCAGAACACGGAAGACCTATTGGCATTTTGGCTTGTTTTCATACCGGCCACACTAGGTCCTCCCTTTGACTCGAGAACACCGACGTAATCGCCTTGAGTGGTGCGGGCAACGGTCACTCTAGGATCAGAAATGGAACAGTATTGTTTTTAGTGACGAGTCTAGATTTTGTTTAGGCATGCACGATGGTCGTGCCAGGGTTAGAAGGCGACGTGGTGAAAGGAGGAATCCACAGTTTTTTGTTGAAAGACATGTTCATCACACTGTTGGAGTTATGGTTTGGGGTGCTATAGCTTATGGTTCCAGGTCACCTTTAATCTTCATCAGAGGTAACATGAACGCGCAGCGGTATATCCACGAAGTTCTAGAACCCCATCTTTTACCCTATCTTGACACCCTGGCAGATCCAACTTTCCAACAAGATAATGCCCGACCACATGTTGCAAGAGTCACAATAGACTGCTTTCAACATAATGATGTCACATTGTTACCATGGCCACCAAGATCTCCCGACTTATCCCCAATTGAGCACGTATGGGATATGATGGGTAGGAGATTGCTCAATTTGCAACGTCCTCCTCAGACTCTAGAAGCACTTCGAGAGGAGTTGGTAGTTGCCTGGAATGAGATACCACAGGAGGACATTGATCACCTGATCAGAAGCATGCCTAGGCGCGTTTGGAGAATGCGTAGCACATCAGGGTGCATCCACACATTATTAAAGGTCAAAGAGCTTTAAAGCAGTGCAATCATTTTGAAATTTTTATCATTTACTTATTATGCTTTATTAAGTACTTATACAAGTTTTATTAAAATAAAACCATTTAAACTGGGTGTTCGGATGTATATGTCATTTAGTATATGAGGCAGAATCTTATTGAGGGCTTCCGAAAAACTATGTCACTTAGTATAGGACAGTACGAAATGCCGTCAATTTCGATAGATCGGTCGATTTTTACGTAAATATTCATATGAGCTCAAGGAATCATCCACGTTTGTCTAGGTGCTGTATTAACATCCAGTATACTTCTTTACCTTGTGAACTAAATGTCGCACTCTCAACCGATTTACACATTACTTTCAACCGTTTTAAATCCATCAAGAATGCATACCGAGCTCCAGTTTCTTGCCAAACCTCACATAACGCGCTCTCAAAATGACAGTTGACAGTCGGTATGTGACGTGAATAACAAAACAAGAGAAAGGCTGCGCCAATCAAACGTTTCAGCGCCACGCATAAATCTATAGGACTCAGGCCTGGTGTTGAAGAGTGTGCTTCATGTTGCGGCTGATGCCACACATTCTCGTTCCGGTATGCACTGCCAAAAATAAATGACTGCACACTAGCACTTTGCGAACAGATCGGCGTTTAGAAAGCATTTATATATTATATACACGCGTGATACCGTAACATACTTTTGGCAAGGAAAAAGAGACATTTTGCTTAAATCGGGCTATTTCCAAAGTTCTGATAACCGACGCTTTTAAAAACCCTCACTATAAAGATTGATAACAACAATTTTCTTGAGTCATCTGCAACTTTTTTGCTTTCGCCATTAAGAAGCTAATTCAGTTGATTTAAAGCAACCGATCATTCTGATCAAAATTACTATTATTAGTAGTCAAATCATATTTATCGATTTAGATGAAAATGAGTAGTATCGCTTACATTCTTTATCTGATCGTCTCTACTATACAGGGTATCCCAACGAAAATGGAAACTAGTTTTATGTGCAAAGTAAAAAAGATTTTACAAATCTACAACATATGGTTTCGATTTAATTGTTTAGATATTTAGTGAAAAAATGCCTAGCTTTGACAGCTCGCAGCTCCGCCATTTTTGAAGACATTCAGATAAACTTTTGTTCGCAAAAATTTTATTATCATCGATTTTATAATATGTTTCTATGTATACAGGATACCTCAAAACGTAAAATGTACCTTTTCTAATAGATTTCAACCCTGTATATATTAAATGCATCAACAGACCTATACAGGGGGACACAAGTTTGACAAAAAATCACGTTAACACGTGCAGCCCCCTGGGAGGGGGTGACACCAACCCTAAAATCTTAAATGGAAAGGCGGGTCGAGTGATACCTTATTTTAAAGGTCTTTCAACTCCCTTTATAATAATGTAAAATACATGAGCTTCAGTTCAGTAGTCTTGAAGATTTATTGATTTAAAGCTCAAAGTAGACTTTAATAGGTACATCAGATTAGTTTGTACTACTTTCAGAAGAAATTTGACTAAAAGAATTTACTTAATCAGTAAATGCCTTTCTTCACTACGCCCATGGTTTGTTTATCATTTTGTTGTTGAAAATAGCTATTGGAGCGTTTTTTTGTGGCAAAAAAGTTATTTCTTGAAGAAAGATAAGGAAATATCTCGTACTTATTTTAAATATGAATTTAGTA